ATCGTGGTGAGGGGGTTTGAGTATGCCAAGGAGACATATGGAGAGAGAGAGAGAGACAGCTGGGCTAGCGTAATCATTATAGTGCCTGGCTACGGGCTGAACGGCCGAGGGGCCGAAGTGATGGAAGAATTTTCTCTTCCCCTCGTCGTCCAGACTGGTTCTGGGGCCCACCCAGCTTCCTTTCCAATGGGTAGCGGGAGGCGGGGGTATAGCGGCCGGGGCGTGAAGCTGACCACTCTCCTCCCCAACTAGTGTCTAGGTAAAGGAAGTGTGGCTCTATACGTACATTTCCCCATACAACTTTATGGCGTAGTGCTTAATTAGCTAAGCGCAGGGACAACTTTACCTTCTCACCGCATCATGATTATGATTTGACTGTCTGAATGGTTATTGTTTACGTGATACACGTTGCTCTTCTCCTTTTTCTTCATGTTTGTATGCATGAGTTTATTTTGTCTCTTTGCTCGCGCTTACTGTATAATTGGCCTTGGGCCGGCTGTTAAGCACATACATAGTAATAAAAAATAATTGAATTGATGTTGTTGGTGGTGGTGGTAGTAGTAGTAGTAGTGGCAGTAGCAGTAGTGTTGACAGTAATAGTAGAAGCACCAGTGGTTGTGGTAGTAGTAGTAGTAGTAGTGGTAGTAGTAATAGCAGTAGTACTGTAACAAATAGCAATCCAAAAATCATTGACAATGTTTGTAGGAATGTCCGTTTTGTGGTGGGCTTGTAAAGAGGTTCATCTACAGTTTCTAGTCTCTGGATCTTTAATAGAGACAAAGAGAGCAGGACATACAGTTGTCACTGATAACCTTCCTCTCCCCTTCCCCCACCCACATGCCACCGTTCACTCATTCACTCACGCATTCAATTTAAATCTCTTGATAGGGCACTTCTGTAATTCCGGTCAGTGTACTTCTGCTGAACTCATGATGTTACAGCCCAGAAGACTGTACTGTTTTTGCAAAGGCAAAGTTGTCCCTGTACTTAATTAAGCAGCACAACATGAAGATATGGAGGAAGTGGAGGTATAACTCCACAAATTCTTAACCTTGGCATTAAATGGAGGTGAATGGTCAGCTTTACGTCCCGGCCTCTTTATCCGGGAGAAGTAGCCCCGTGGTAATCATGGGATAGGAGGTTGGGTGGACCACAGAGTCGGTGGGGAAGTTGTGAGGAAGAGAAAAGTCTCTTGTCCCGGTCGGGAATCGACTCCTGATCCATCGGTCGGCCAGCCCTGTCACTGTACGGACCGAGGTAAGTTGGAATCGAGCGTCAACAGCATGTAAACTCACTACACTAGCGATGCAGCACGCCTCCAGCTGATGGCATAACACCGATGTCATAGTCACCAAACACCACTACACGTAAAATTCCCCTAGAAAAGATTTTGCATTTAAATGCGATCTCGTCAGATGCGGAGGGCGTGCCGGTGGTTATACGTAATTGCGTATAAACATCTGTACTTGATTTGCTGCATGTCCATATAATTTTCATTTGTCAGGTATATCCCTGTCGCTCATGGAAATAATATACCCGAAAGAATTCGGCGGTGGAATACAAAAAGGTGAACACAAACTTCGTTGTCGAAGCCTTTAATATTATAGAAGTTCAGTTGGTATTCAAAGAAGTAATTTTGTATACCCATTAACGAATCACTTTTATGCAAACTCAAACACGGCTGCAGAAACAGCTGGCATTGAGGTTAAGGGGCTCTGGATATTCCGTGCAGATTTTTGCGCGATGGGTATCATGACTGCTTTAAAAATAGCACAACAGATTTCCCAAACCGTTCTTATACTTTCTAATACAGAAGCAGCCTACCACCACAAAAGGGCAGAGCCTATTTTGAGCAATCGGAAAATATTTTTTCCCTAAAATGGTTCTTTCCATGGTAAAATTCTTCCTTGCTTTTTAAATTCAGTGTCTGTTTATTTTCAGGAACCTATAATATTGTCACAGAACTGCATAATGAGGAGCTTCATAACTTGCACTCTTCTCAAAGTATAAGTAGAATGATCAAGTTAAGGAGGATGAGGTGGGCAGGTCATGTAGCACAAATGGGGGAGAAGAGGAATGCATATAGGATATTGGTTGGAAAGCCAGAAGGAAAGAGACCACAGTGAAGACCAAGGCGTAGGTGGGTGGACAATATTAGAATGGATCTTAGAGATATGATGGGATGGTATGGATTGGATAGATCTAGCTCAGGATAGGGACCAGTGGAGGGCTCTTGTGAACATAAAATGCTGGGAAATTCTTGAGTAGCTGCAGAATTGGTGGCTTCTCCAGAAGGGCTCAGCTCCATGAGTAAGTAAGTAAGTGAATAATAATATTGTCACACACTTGAGTACACTTTAACTGTTAATGGAACTGTTAACGTGATTGAGAAAGCGTGGTTAGCCAAACTAAGAAACACGAATAAGCAGTGCAAACCTGTGTAAAGCGGAAACTTAAAATAGGTGGACTGTCCTAGTTATACCTTCGATGTTGCCTTTTAGACGGATTCGCAAACCTTCGGAGCGACTACTGAAACTGCATCACGAGTTTCACCGTCTCTACGTATGAAACAGCTCGATTACATGACACTTGAGGTTATGGAATTTTACTAAAACGAATGAACACATTCCTACTTTGGTTAAAATCGATCTGAGATAAAGGAAACTTTCATGAAGACTTACGTGCATTTTTGCGCATATTGCGACAGTGTCTCTATAAAAATTTACGGGAGCAAAAAGCGTTCTGGACGAAGGTTGCAGAACGAACTCGAAAAGAGTTTGTATCCAATATACTTTTCCCCTATCCGTGGTAAATGTGACCACATTTTACAGTTCATATCCTCATATCCTATTACTCTAAGTTCTATTTTAATATTACTTGGCTATAATTTGAACATTTTGTTTATTTGTTGTATTTGATATTGGAAGATACAAGGCTGTATAGGATATACTTAAAAATCGTATAAAATGGATAAAAATTTTACAGATCTTTCGTTCTTTTATTTTGATTTATTTTGATTTTTGTTGTAATTTCTATTGAGAGAGAATATTATTCAGAATTCAGTTGTATACATGATAATAATTTGGAGCCGAGCTCAGTTGTTATAGCGACTGGCTAGGGTCTGGACGGCCCGGGTTCGATTCCTAGCAGTACAAGATATTTCTCTTCTGCACAACGTTCAAACCGACTCTGGGGCTCAACCAGCCTCCTATCTAACATGTACATGGGATTCTTTCGCCGGGTAATGTGGCAGGAACCACTCACTTCCATCTAGTGCCGAAGTCAAGAATGGTGGATCTGTAGCTCCACTAACACGTATTTCTTCATGGCATAGTGCTTAACTAATTATGCACAGGGATATTTTTTTTTATCTTTAGGCAATAATAACTTACTGAAATGAAAGGCCGCGCCATAGCTCAAGCGGTTAGTCCCTGGCTTCCCACCGCGGCGGCCCGGGTTCGATTCCGGGTCTGGTCAAGTGGGATTTGTGGTGGACAAAGGGGCGCTGAGGCAGGTTTTCTCCAAGTAATTCGGTTTCCCCTGCCAATCTTCATTCCACAAATTGCTCCACAATCACCCTCGCCTATCATCTGGGACTGGTACAATAGGCCAGAAGTGGCCGCAGTACACGGGACTTAGTCCCATCCCACTAGCAATAAAAAAGATACTGAAATGAAAGACGTTTTATCTGAATTAATATATTCTATATCTAAAGGCTCAGTACCTTCACTAAAGTGTGAAATTTAAAGAGCTCAATCTTAAGAATACGGTCTTCTGTGACTGGAAGTTGTGTGGTTTGATAGACATGTACTAACATTTCGGAAGAACCAACTGTCTCCTCCTTCTTCAGGGTAGAAGACTTTTATTGTTGGCTTTTATTTTCGAACGCGGGCTACAGATAGTCAGAGTTCGCTATTCCTGTTCTAAAATGTTTTGTCTGCACAAGTTTCCTGAAATAAATATTAAATAATTTTAGTTCCTGATCACTTAGAAATTATATAAGAGTAAAAGTTACTCGAAATGTCTTACCTTAGCCGTTTCTTCGAAATACAGATATTTATGTTCCTAGTGAATTTTTATATTTCTGCCAGGTGCCAACTGCTGCGCCTGACAAGAACATTGACTCCAGACCGAATCAAAAGCAATGCACGTGAAAACAAATTACCCGACTTTATCTATTATGTGCTATGTTATGATTAGTGAATGATGGATTAGAAATTGTATGAACGGAGACGACCGTGCCATACTATACCGTCTTTTAACTGGCGGGACTGAGGAAAAATGCTAATAATCGATCTCACGGTCGAAACGTTGATCTTCCGAATACGGAGCAGTTCTACCCAGTTGATCGCAATGTTCGATACATTAGCCGAGCTACTGTAATTCTGCTGAAAATTGCAACAGCATTCTTTCACAGTAACGTCAGAAATGTTTAGATTCGACGTGTGTGTGTGTGTGTGTGTGTTGGGGGGGGGAGTAGAGACTACTGACGTCTCTGCGGTCTCCCCCCCCTCTCCTCGGCTTCCGACGTCTTGTTTTTTATGCAGTCCAGACATCTCAGTGTGGCTTTGAACCCGTAAACCCAGACAGACTGAACCTCCCCACCCCTTACTAAAATACGGCCTTGCTGCTCTGAAAGCATGCTACTATGTCTGTATTTAAGTTAACATACTTTTTTGTTTGTCTGCCAGAATTTAATTATATCAAATAATATTTGCACGTGTAAAATGTCCATTACAGAGAACAGTGCTCTAATAAATAGCTTTCAACACATAGTTTCAGTTTCACGTACCACAATTTTAAAGGATTATTGAGAATTTTAAGTCTTTTACCGTGTTTATGATGTTGTCTTGAATTCAAAAACAAATTAACGAAAACACTTATGTGTTGTTAAATTAAATGTTTTGTGATGGTGTATTTCTGTTTTCTGTGTTGGTTGTCCTGTTAGAACTGCTACCACAGCCTTTCGCGTTTTCATACTATGACATCGTTCAGTAGTATTGTATTGACTAGTGTAAAAACTGAGAAGTAATGTGGTAAATTGTGTGGTATCATTCTTCGGACTTTTGTACATTTTCGAATGAAGGAAATGTGATGTGAGATGTGCTGAATATGTTGTGAGAATAATGTAAAGACTAGGTTGCGGCCGGCGGATGGATACGCTGCCATTTTAGGAGGCGATGCGGCAACCGTGTATATTCCGCCATTCGAAACAATCAAAGTATTTTTCTCCAGGTGCAAGTCCTGGAATTTTGGCGAATAGTGTGTGGTATTTATGAAGTTTGTGATATGCGATACGTTCGGATCAATCTGGAAATTTTAAGGATTACAGTGAAGTGAGAATTTTGTTCATATGTGATATACAGGATGAGGTAGGGCGATGGAAAACGAAGTGAAGCAGCGAAATCAAAGAAATCGTCGACGTGAACGGGCGCAGCGCATGCAAGCTCAGAGAGAAAGCAAAGCGAAGGATGGGGATAGTGCAGAGGACGAATCTCCGGCTCGTGAAAAACCTCAGAGACCCCCAAATAGGAGAAAAAAATCGAAAGAGCCGCCGTTCGAAGAGGACATCATTGATGGATTTGCCATTTTAGCTTTCCGCACGTATGAGGATCTCGAGGTAAGACGGGCCATTGTTTGAAGTGGCCCGATTTGCTGTCATATATTTGGTTTTAGGCATTTTATCTTGTTTTCAGATATTGTAGGTAATGGATGACAGGCCATTCGCGGACAACCCTCAAACGACTAAACATATGTGCCCAAATATGCAGCAGAGGGTTTCATGGTGAATTGAGGTTTCGTTGACGTATGTTGGGGGGTTATCCATTCGTGATAAAGTAGGTATAAACACATTTGTGTTAAGAGACTAAGGTACCCACGTAGTTATTATGATTTCGGCAAAATCCGTTTTGTTTTGACAGTGACAAGCTAGGCCTGTAAGGACAATGAACTTTTCTTATGAGAGATGGGGGTTTCATGATGGAGACGATTTAGATTATGGTTCTCTTGAGTTATGACACCGTCTGGTTTGGTAGGTGGTTACCAGTATTTCAGAGGAGCCTGCTGATTTATTTTCAGGGTGAAATTACCCAGAAGACAGGCAGTATGTTCCTTAAAAACAATGGTAACCACATATCAGACTGGTATTATTATCCTTGTGAAATGTGACATCATAATGGTGAGTATGGAGATTATGGTTTTCTAGGATGTCAAGTTTGGTAGTTCTACCAATTTTCATGGTGTCACACAGATACTTCCCCTAATTTTAATTCAGAAATTATTTATTAGGCTCTATTTGCTTTTTGGATAACTGTTGTGTTACACTGTTATGTATTGTATAATGGACCAAATACATGGAATATCTATATTTCATGATAAAATTGGAGGTATTATTTTGTTGGTTTTCAATAGATTTAAAGTTGACAAGTATAATGCTTTGTCTAATAGTACAGAACTTGGCCGGTACATTATAGAATATGAAAACAGAAATTCCGGTTTCCATGAATGGAGAGTTTAGAAAAAGTTGCCAGATAGCCAGTTTGGAGAAAGATGGTAGACAAAAGAAATTTTATGTATTAGGTGATAGGATAACCATGCATGTGGTGTTTCACTTAATCTTTTTGTGCTTCACTAAAATGTTTCACTGCACAGCCTGTTGTTTAGCAGGCAGTACTTACAACTTTGCCTAATGATTTGTAATTTATGATGTACTGAAGGACTTCTTACACAAATTTTCCTTATGCCATAATGTTATCAGTAGTTGCTAATGAGTGATCTAATATTTTGCTTATATCATTCCTCTAGTCTTATGCTTGTATGCTGTCTCATTAATCTTATATATCATAAATGAAAATATTCTTCACATATTTCCATGCACAGTACACAATTTGTTAATTATGAGTTTTCCATTAAAATGATGCATTAATATAGTCCTGTCATGTTCCTGTTTACTGATTGTAAGAGGAAGGAAAGGTGTTTCATAAAATGTTCATGTGTTGTAAATTATTATTTGCATAAGTGTCATTTTGATCTATGAATAGATGAAGGAATGGTATTAGAATGGATCTTGGGAAATGAGGTGTGACTGGATTTATTTATCAGACTTAGGGTAAATTGTTGGCTCCTGTGAATGTGAAAGAAGCCTTTGGGTCTCATAAAGGGCTGGGAATTGTTTGACTACTTGAGTTTTCATCAGCTTTTCAAGAAAGACTAGCATCATGGGATTGGTTGGTCTGTCATCTCATAAAATGCAAGGAATTGTTTGCCCAGCTGAGTGGCCTTCAGCTTCTCAAGGAAGTGGCAGCACCATGGCGTTGGTGCATCTCAGTTGGTTATGTAATTCAGATGTGACCAAATTTTGCTCTGTGAAATTGAATTGCATACAGGAGTGCAAATACATTTGAAGTTCAGTTTATTTGCTCTTCATTCTTACATATAACTTATATTTCTGCCCTAGAGGAGGTTGGGATTTGGTATTGCATACAGATTTGTGGGTGCTGATAACAAACGTAGATTGGACAAAAGTATGTCGTATACTGGACATGATGCATCACCAGGGCTCAGCAAAATCTCTTGCTTTTTCATCAAGGGTGATGGGTGAAAGAGTCTTTGAATTTATTTGTTAATATTCTTTCCTGCTCTATTTTCTGCTTCTGTGTAGGTGGTGAATAATAAATTTTGTAACTTATGTGTGTATGAAGGGCTTTGTTAATGTGGCACTGACATGTTTTAACTCACATGTAAGGAAATTATTAGAGTGAAATGGAATTATAATAGCATGGGTAAGCACAGTTTATCTTGTGTAGAATATCTCAAGGAGTCAGAGTTTTTTCTTGACAAGTGAACTGAGCTAACATATGTTGACCCCTCTGCATTTCAAACCAATGTAGAAATAAACAAATATTCTAGGGTTCATCATTGACCCTTTTAAATATTTTAACTATTTATAATTTTTTTTTGGGGGGGGGGAATATATGCTTTTGTTTATAAGAGACTACAAGGAAGTCCAGAGTGAATCCTAGAGGACAGAATGAATTGTATTGACCCGTCTTAAGATGGGGTTCAGTAGTCATACTTGCTCTAATGGCTGTGTTGCCAATATGAAAAGAAGAGGGGAATTTCTTAAGCTTCTGAATAACAAGACACCCCAGAAAGGCTGTTATTTGAAATATGTTGTTATGAAAGGCATTTCATATTCTGACTGCCTCTGTGGTCTAGTGGTCAGAGCTCCAGATTCGATTCCCATTGCTACCAGATTTTCTGAGAAGCGGTGGGTCTGGAACAGGTTCCATTCAGCCTCGTGAGGATAATTGAGTAGCTGTTTCAAGGAAATAGTGGCTCCGGTCTAGAAAACCGAAATTAATGGCCGTGGGGATTCCTTGCGCTGACTACATGACACTCTCTATCCCCTAAGTTGGCACTAACTTCGCTGACAAGCAGTAGTCACTCGGTCGGTATAGTTCACTTGCGGACAAAAACCATGGAGTTTGTTTGTATTTCATATTCCTATCCAGTTAGACAGCATATGAATCATGGAACAGGTGGCCACTTGAGGACAAGTCTTAAGATTAACAATTTTAGTTTGCAGTAAATGATAGTAGCAAGTGTGTATACAAAGGGTCCCCAGCTTCAGGTCACTGAGGACAATATTGTATCTTGGGTACCTGGCTTTGGATTTCTTTATAATAAAAATCTGTATTTTCCCATTAAAATAGAACATTGTGCTTAGCCCAAGAGAGCAAGCATTGTGACTGTAGTAGACACATATGAGGCCATCAGACACTTGTCAGATTGATGGTGCTTAAAAATTAGCCCCTGAAGGTTTGCTGGACTCTGTTGATATTGCATACAAGCATTGAGCATTAATAATTCCATCATTTCAAATTTTTTTAGGTGTTGCATATGATCTCTTGGAATATTAAGGAAATATTTAGCATGAATTTTTGTACAGTTTCTTAGGCAAAATTTGACATGGGGGGAGGGGTCAGGTAACCTCTTTATGCCTGACCCATAAATAATTTGTGTAACCTTTAAAATATTAATGGATTTGTTTATCCTTGATCAGAAGCAGAAACAAGGTGAGTAATAGGATTTTAATTGCAGTAATGCTTTCCAATGTGATGGTTTTTGAGAGGGGTATTCCAGAAATATTGTGTGTAATACCCAGAATGTCAAAATTCACACTTGTCCAGGCATGGTTTTATGGTAATCCTCTCAAGCTTTAATAGACACCAGTTGAATTTGACTGCAGCTGTATGGCTGAAGTTGGCCACTACTCTGAACCCTAATAAATAACTTGGAATAATGTAAGATCTTTGGTGACTGGGGTGACTGTTTTGGTATTGACTTGGGGAAGGACATTTGCTTCAGTTACTCCAAGAGCTGCTGGGTCCATTGTTTGCTCCTGATCTTGTTAAGGTCCTCCAGACCATGAAGATCATTATCAAGTGGGATGTGATGCCTTATAGTCTGGTAGACATGCAGCATCTATTAGACTACAGAGCACCACATCCCAGAAAACAGTAACCTTGAAACCTGAATAATGTGTGCCATGTTTCTTATTAACCTATTCACAACAAGGAAGTGTAGGCCTATTCATTGTTGTGAAACTGACCTGTTTCAATAACAATGCATAAATCATTTTTGTGTTTCATCAAGTTTTAAACTGTTTTCTTTGCTGTATCATGGCCTGTGATGATATTTTCATATCTTATTGGTATCTGGTGGAGAAATTTGTAACCATTATCAGTATTTTCTGCAGTTGAAGATATTTGCTTAATTTTGGTAATCTCTGCTAGTGATGACAGTAAATTTGTATTGGGTATGTAGGATGCATATGGATCTGTCTGGACTGTACATATTATTAAATTTTCATTAGAAGTTCAGAATTGCAATAATATACTCATAGCTCAATTGCAAAATATGAGGATGAAGATTATTATGGCATTATAAGATTATGCTTATGCTGACAGTTTTGATATAATTGTTCTATGTCAGGAAGAAGTAGTTCTGTCTTCTGGTTTGTGACTGCATGTAGTGCTGTAGGTGGATACCAGCATTAAACATGCTGCCTCAGTCTTCAGTGTTCAAGTGAAAGGGGTGAGCATGTGATCAGGTTTTGTAGGTAGGCCACAAGGAAGGTCAGTATTGAGAGCCATTGAAGGGGGAGAGGAGAAGAAACCTGGTCTGCCAGAATTTAGTTAGAATGAAGTGGTTGGGAGAAGTACAAGAAGCCTGATTTGATAATTACATTGTGACCTAAAAGAGAAATTGCAGATTTTGCANTGTATGATAGTTATGTTTTTTTCTTATTCCTAGTGGGGTGGTACTAAGTCCCTTGTACTGCGGCCACTTCTGGCCTATTGTACCAGCCACAGATGATAGGTGAGGGTGATTGTGGAGCAATTGGTGGAATAAAGATTGGCAGGGGAAACCGAAGTACTCGGAGAAAACGTGCCCCACCGCCACTTTGTCCACCACAAATCCCACTTCACCAGACCCAGGATCGAACCCGGGCCGCCGCGGTGGGAAGCCAGCTAATATTTATGTTAATAGCACTAATAATCTTCAGAATTTATTATTGTATGGATATGTATAAATTAAATGACTGGGACATATCAT